CAGCGGACGCTAGCGAAAAACCTCTCTCATCTTTCTCACCAAACGCGGTTGCCGTCAAGGTGCTAAGGCAGCGTTCAGACTTCGCGACGGCAGCGCTTCGGTCGACGCGATCGATGCAGTCGAAAGCATGCGCATCGATCGCGCCGAACGCGCGACCGAGGCGCTGCCGTCGCGAAGTCTGAACGCTGCCTAAGATATCATCCTGTTTTCTGCTAAAGACGGTGCACTGTTGCCCCAAATGGCGTGATCCTTTAAAACGCGTAGACGAACCACGTTGGAATGAAGTACGCAGTCACGCCCTCCCCATCTCTGGGTTATGAAATGTAACCGTATATCATCCGATCGAGCACGCTGAGCCTAGCTGCAGTTACAGTCCCGTTTCCAGAGATGTCCCCGAAGTGAACTATTAGCAAACAATGGCGGCGTGACAGGAATGGATATTGATCGGCCTCAGCAGCAACGGGTCATGATTCCTGCAAACGATCAGGCGGGTAATGGGGGCATGAGCTGGGTCGCAGCTAGAACAGCTCTCCCGCCGCACAGGAGGGTATAATTGGTGGAGAGGAGCACCAATCCACGCCCCCGTCACATGCCCTATTGTTTGCACGGATGACATCTGTCTATTCCCTCCATTCAAATAGTGATGCTTCAGATATCATCAATTTCACAGGAACAGAATGCTCAAAGACATGAATGGGCCGCGAAGGAGGATAGAGGTTCACCTGAATGTCTGACTGAGCCCGAACATGGGCGTGGCAGGAGCCTTGAGTGGTCTGCACCTGAACCTTCCACAGACCCGCTGGTACCATATCTGAAGGAAATAAGCCTAGTATTAATCGTACTGTAAAACGCTTTTTATAGGAACTTACTTGTGCTATTGCCTGGTGTTAATCCTTGACCATAACGATATTTTTGGCAGGCAGGATAATATAGCTGGTTGCAGTCGGTAGGAACCCAGTAGCCGTCCTTATCACTGATAACACAGTTGAACGTTGTGTTGTTAGGATCAACTCCTGGAGCCCAGTTGGTGTAATCGCCCTGGAACGCGCATGTATTGAACTAATATTTATTGAATATTTAAGAGTTACGAACACTTCGGATGAACTAACCAGATTCTGATAGCTGTTACCGGTTGGTACATCCCAAACCCAGGCATTGTTGTTTCTAATTAGGCCAATCCAAGCTGCAGCTCCACCAGTTTGAGCTAAATTCATCAAAGATTGGAGTAGATCAC